ACAACAACAGTATTTTTCACTTAACTATACGGTAAGTGTGCACTTTCATTTTGGATATCCCACTTCATAGAAAGATATGCACTGCAATTTACATATTATTAGTTGCAATTACAATGCCACCCAGACATGTATGAGGGAGATTTTTATTTTTATTTTTATTTATTTATTTATTTATTTATTTATTTATTTATTATTATTTTTTTTTTTTTTTTCAGTGGAATTTGTGAGATGTTGGTTAATTGGTTTAATCTTGTTTTATTGTTTTGTGAAGCGCCTCCAACTTTTTCACAATTACTTTTTGGTGTATGGTAACAGCTTCTTGCACATTTCATTGAGGTTACTCTTCTATATATGTATATATAAATACTGGTATGTACTAAGTACTCAAATTATACATTGCAGAAGATAAATATGACATCAATTAATCCTCAGGAAGAACCCATCCATGACATTCTTGAGGTCATTACTTTACTAACAGTTTAATATTAAGTATTTTATAAACCAATGCTTTCACAAGTTCAGGTGATATGTGAATAATGAAGGATACAGTTTATTTTTTTCTGCATATGTTTGTATTGTATTGTAAGCCTAGACACCCCTTCAATTGGAGAAGTTTCACAGTGCCATTGTTAATAATGTGCCAGTATCTTGTCTTTGATTCTATTTTAAAGATTCATTTATAATACTTTTTAAGCCAATTTTGTTACAATTGAATTATTTCCTCTCTAATGTAGACTGATGAACCAAGATGATGGGTTTGAGTGTAAATAACCGGTATGTGTGATTTTGTATGCATACATGTGTGAAAAGTATGCATTTTGTTAGTTTTTTGCTAAAATATTGATAGGAAGCCTCTCTCTCTACTTCTTATATGTAATGCAGTTTTATATGATGATAAAATATATACTGGTTTTCAGTTCATATTTATCAGCTGCTGGTTTTACTATACCATTTCAAATTTTGATTTGTTTTTGCTTGATAGATGTAGTATAAGACTAGCATATATATTGTGCTTCAATACAAATAACTGTGATAGTGATTGTAGACACCAAACATCATCCACCAACCCTACAAATATCTTAACTACTCTATTTAGCCCAGCTAAATGGGACCTATTTTTCGTGATCCCCCCTACAGCTCCTTGCTAAGGTAACACTCCTCTTTCAACAATGTCTCCAAAAACATGTAGGCAGAGTCCCTTTCCATACCCAACGCGATCGCTCTGGTCTCATAACAGTCAGATCTGAAGCTAAAGCTATAGCATTATCAAAACTAACTGGTCTCTCTGGCAACCCCATCCCTGCAGAACCTCATCCAACTCTTAATACTTGTACCGGAACTGTCTCTATCTCCCCAGCAAACTGCCCAGTCGATACCTAAGATTGGTCAGATTGTGGAGAAGACTTGCTCAGCTGCCTCAAAGACCAGGATGTGATATCAGTACATTGCTACTCCATTCCTCCTAGAGGTCAGCGAAAGAAACCCACCAACATTGCCAAAATTACTTTCAGTACACATGACCTTGTTTGTATCTACATAGGTGGACAATCCCTCCCTGTTCAACCATACCAACCTCCTCCCCGTCAATGTCAAAATTGTTGGTGATTTGGACATACTGCCAAACACTGCCACTCCAGAGACCGATGCCCCCTATGTGCCCAACCCGGTCATACAGATCAAACTGCCCTGCACAAACAAGCACATGTGCTAACTGCGGCAGCCCCCATAATGTATTTTATAGAGGCTGTCCCACTTACAAGTTTGAGTCTGAGGTAGCAACTCTCAGATACAAAAATGGTCTCACTCTACGTGAAGCCAGACAGGAAGCACGCCGACAAGATTTCTCTTATACTCCCTACTCCAGTAATGTTGCTCACTCTGCTCCTCCCCCTCCACCTCAGGATGTTCCTACACCCTCACCTATACCTACTTACTTCCCCACTTCCACTTCTACATTCTACCTCCCCCAGTCAAATTCTTTTGCCACTCTAAATCCAGACACCCCAATCTCGACTACAGCCCCAACACCGTCCCCTCTCCCTCCCCGCAGACAGACCAAAACTTCTCCCCCCTTCTTCCCCTACTGCACACTCACCTCCACCTACCTTTGCCTTTATTCCTCAGACACCAGTCTCCTCTTCCCCCCCTCATAAGAAAACCTTTGTCTCACAAAACTCTCCAACCAACTCCACTGCAGAAACTATGGAATATATCCAAAACTATATGCTTGAATCACAAAATTCCACGACTCATGCTCCCTCCACACTCAGAGTGACTGCCAGTATCCATCCCCCTCCTACTCATATTCCCCCTACACCCCTCCCTCCTACTCCTCTCAACCCAACCTAACCCCCTCAATTCCGCATACTACCGATATCCATCCTCCTGATACTACCGATATCAATCCTCATCCTACTCCCTCCCAACACAAACATTTCCCCTCAATACCAACTACTGCCGATATCCATCCTCCCGACACCCATCCTCCTCTTACTCATATTCCCCTAACACCACTTCCTCCTACTCCCTCCCAACACAATCCACCCTCTTCAACTCCAACTATACGTACATTCTCCCTCCCTCCCTCCATCCCCTCTATCATTTCCACTCCCTTGTGGATACACACGTGAATCACATGTAATTCCCTTACCTAAACCCACCATAGCCTATTCACACAACAACTTCTTTACCCATCTTAACCTTTCAAGATCACTAGATAGTTGACACATAGCAACTATCACCCTTCACCCCTCCTTTAATATACTTAATATTCTCACCCTATCCCCCAGTCAAAATTGATTTCCAGTCTGAATCCAGATACTCCAATCTCTACCAACTCATCCTCCTTACTTTATTTGTCACACCAGGCAACCTATACATTCCATTCCACCCTCTCCTACTACATCCTCTTCTACACCTTCCTCTTCTTCTGCTCCTCAGACATCTATCTCCTCTTCTCCTTCTTACAAGAGAACCTTTGTTTCTCAGTCCTCTTCACCCAACTCCCCTCCAGAAACCTTTGAAGACATCCAAAACTTCCTAAAGATGACCCAAGGGAACACTCCACTTCCTCATTAACCCCAATCCCTCTGTTCCTACTCCTACATTTAAAGACTTTGCAGATATTGATCCTCCTCCTCCTCAGGTTCCCTCCACCCCCTTCCCCCTACACCCTTCCAACATACCCCACCCTCTCCCACCTGAATAGTCACATGAATGCCCTCTATCACAATAGTGTCCTTCTCCAGACCCCTCCCCTCCAGACATTCTTTCGGATACTTCGCAACCTTCCCCAGTCCCACTTTCTCATCCTCCAGATTCTTCTCTTCTTCTCCTCTTCAACAGTCACGTCTGTTTTCCTTGAACAACGTCCCTATTCCTTCCCATCACAGATACAGTGCAATTCAGTCAATTACTTTACTTCCTTAACCTTTCCCATTTTACAAATCTCTGCTCTACCTCATTTACTTCTTTCTCTTCCCTTTTCATTGCCATACTTTCCTATAACACACTAATCTTTGACATTTAACTCCCCCCCCCCTCTCCCTGGATTATTCTACTTTTCCAACAGCCATCTCTGTTTTCCTTGAACATTATTCTTATACCTTCCCTAGTGACAGATACACTAATTCACTCAGTCGCCATACCCCCTTAAGTGTCCCCTTTCTACTAATCTCTGCTATAATTAAATTACTCCCCTCTTTTCCCTTTTCACTACCATACTGTTCTACAATGCTCTCTAATCTTTGACATCTAACATTTTATTCAAATCTTTAACTCCTCTTTACCCTTTCCGACACAATACTTTACCATAGTGCTATATGACCTTTGATGTCTAGCACATTTATTTGTTTCAAACATTAAACATTAAAAACAACCCAATTCAGTTATTTTAGTTTTAATTTGCTGGTATGGTAATCATTGCATGCTATCTGACTATCATGGTATATCATGCAGGCAGCAGGGGATTGGTAGGGGGTCTAAGCAAGCAGGTTTGAGTCATAATCAAGGTCAGGAAGAGCATCTCCTTTATCGTGGGCTCTACCTGGAAAAAAAAATTCTTTAAAGGAAAGCACCATACCTATGCTTATAAGGGATGAGGGGTGTAGTTAATCATGTAGAACCAGGCCAAGTTATGTATTCTGGTGGAAATATTACTCACTTTATGCTCTACAAATGCTCAATAGAATGTTCTTGTATAACAAAACATATTGACAATAACTCCAACTATAGTAATTATTTATTTTCATATGTGAAACTGAACAAACAAGTCAATGACCCAAAAGCAAAAATTTACTTCTGTACCACATAGTTCTAAAGCATCTGTACGACAAATTATCCTTCAAGAAGAGGTAAACCAGTAAAACATTTTTTTTTTTCACCAGTACCTTTATTTATGATAAAATACCAAGTTAATAATGTCTTATATTTTTGCTAATATACTAGTTAATGCACATAAGAAAATTGTTGAAAGAGCTATAATACATACATTAAATATACAAGTATATCTTCTTATAAAAATAAATATATACAAGAAATTTGTATGTACTTAATAACAAATGAATATGAAAAGTTACTGGTTATTATATTTTTTACTTTAAAATCTCTTATAATATTAGCTGTAAAATACATGGATACACCCTATATCTTCCCCACTTTTCTAAGATGGGTGAATTAGTCATGGTTGCATACTTGACATTTCAAATTTTAAAAACTGTAGATACCTACAATATAAGGTTTTATTTCCTAGTCAAAGATTTTAATACAACCTACACACAATAAATTTCAAAACAATTGTCTAAATTCTGTATTAACAATATAACAACAAATTACACCACTGATCTACACCCTGGATTGCGCATCCTATTCTTTTCAGAAGCCAAAATTTTAAGTCGAGATTGCCACCATCTTGAAGTGACCAGTTTCCATACTACAACTCTGTAATTGTACTGGCTACCTCCATATAATCTTGCTAAGTGTCTACATAGTTGCTTGTTACATTGCAACACACAACGAAAAGGGATCATTTAGGCCACGATGCATACATTAAGGGAAATACAGTATTAGGTTAGACAAAATATGCTGTATCTTCTTTATATTTGCAAAGTTCACTTCCAAACTTTTATAGAACATACAGAAGGTTTCCAAAAATCTGAATATCTCTCTTTTTTCATCATATCATATATCCCAGGCAGACCCTCCCCTTCGGAAACACAGCTTTTTTATCAGCTACCAAGGATGCCAAATCACCCTGCCTATAACACATGATCATAAAATGTAAAATTTTTACTTCTCTCTACTCCAAGTGTACTTTACAAACTATATCCCCACTGCATGGTGGTCACTCCAAGATGGTTGTCATGAATTTTTGTCAGCTTCACTCTATAAATGAAATAATAAATGCTTCATCCATTTTTTTCTTTTCCATAGATCAGTGAATTACAACAACATATATTTTTGTTCATTCCCATGCAACAATAACAAAAAAATTGTGTCATTTTCATTTTCATAAACATAAAACTACCGTCAAACAAACAGTAACAAGGTGACAAGATAAAAATTGATAAATACCTAATTTCCCTCACAGCTTACTTGCCACATCCAGTGACTTGTTTGGTATGTACATAGAGTCAATTATGTCTTTATACTTTTCCTGAACAAAGCTCCTCTTTAGCTTTAAAGTATTATTGAGTTCTCCTGTTGGTTGAGAGAAGTCCAGTGGAAGAAGCGCCCATTTTTGGATTTTCTGTGCATTCGAAACTGCTCCAGATTTGTTGTACCTGTCAGTCAAAAAGAAATCAGTATGCTGTACCTCACTGTTTCCATTTCTGTTTCTTTGTCTCACTTTCTTTTTGTTTCTGCTTCTGTTTCTTCACTTTCCTCCTATATCCCTTTCTCTGTTTGTCCATCTTTAACACATCTCTTAACATTTCATTACTTTAAGTTGGGATTCAAAAGGAAAAAAATAAATGTAAAAAAGCAGTTCCAAAAAGGAAAAAAATCCTGTAAAAAAGCAGGCCCACTTAATTCACTGTGAAGACAAAGTTAAATCTACATATGACCCTGACAATGGCAATATCAGAGATGATTATGATGATAACTACTAGCATGATGACTTATGAATGATTACATTTACTGACTGTTCATGACAATAAACAGCAGGCAATATAATAGACCAGAAAAAAGCATGCACTAAACTAAAAACATTGTGTATCTCCGTAGTATCTACAAACCTCCTTACCTCTCAATTCCATCCTGTATAGCTTTGGCTAAAGGTCCACTAGGATTCTCCTTCACCTCAGCCACAGCCTCTGCCACAGTCTGGACATCACAACCAAGGTCCTTAAACAATGCTTGGCAAGCTGGTGTCAAGATCTGTTGTGGCTCCCCAGTGGTATCATCTGTCTCGGCCTTTAATGTCAAGAGCATTGACAGATATCTGGATGGGAAAAAAGTGATGAGAGGAGAAGAGAGAAGGAGAGCAACTTTAATTACTGTATCCTTTATAAATTTTTACCCTATATAAACAAAGATATGGATCACTGAGATCACATTTTTCAGGAAGTTGCCAGAATGTAGGTAACAGGAAGGGTATAAACAATCAATTGTTTACTTTCCAGTAACTATGCCTGTGTATTACCCAATGAAGAATTAAAAAAAAACATTTCATAACCTACTTTCTACGATCACCACATAGAAATGCAAAACTGACGAATGGCAGTTCCTTCTTGACTGCTTCCTCAATCAACACAGGTGGGATGTTCTCACCACCTGCTGTTATGATCAACTCCTTGATCCGCCCAGTAATGTAGAGAAATCCATCTTCATCGAATCTTCCTATATCTCCTGAGTGCAGCCATCCCTCATCATCAATCTGTACAATTAGTTTTTTTCTTTTTTTGTAAACATCATGTGCACAAGGTTATTAAGATTGTGTATCAAACTTGTGCACATGGGAACCTACATTAGACTGTCTACTAGCAAAGAAATATTTTAAATACAATTTACATTTTTATCTTATTACTATGTTATACAGTAACAGCATATATGTAAATACAAAGACAATATTTAAAACAAATTCTAAATTAATATGAACACTAATCTTTTACACTAAAAGCTATTAAATCACTTTTTAGAATTGTTACTATCATTACATGTAATTCTAAAGAATTTAATGTATCAAATATATAAATAAGCATTTCCTTACCGTCTCACTAGTCTTCTCCGGCATATGTAAATACCCCATAAACACACTTCTTCCCTTCATGCATATCTCTCCTTCATCTGGCTTGCATCCATCAACTGGTGCCAGTTTTGTATAACATTGTGGAAGAGCCTGTTGGCAAGTTACAAGTCAAATATAAATTATATTGTTTCCTAAATCATTTGCAATATGTTTAATATAATTCATACTTTATTATCACAAGCATGTACAAATATTTGATCTTGAAAATTTAAGACTAATTAAAAAAAAAAAAAAAAAATTTCACTTCATAATAATTTTATAAACTATGAAAAAGCACATACTGTTCACTTTGCTCTAATACAACACAGCTTACTTTCAGTATAAACTAGTTACACTTAATAATGAACTCTAACTTCTACTTCCCATTTGCTAATCTGGAATATTACAAAATAACCTTTAACCCCTGTGATTCAGATGATGCGACCATCATGTCAAGAAAAAATTTGGCGCTTGAGGGGCAGATGATATGAACATACCATAAGGGGAAAATTTGGCTGTGGGCCAGGGTGTCATGAACTTGCCACTATGAGCATTTCGGCTAAAAGCTAAGGTGACGGGATAGACTCGCCACAAGCACATAAACCTCTTGGAGGGTGATTATGCTAATTTGGCAATTAGAAAGAGGTTTTTAGATTAATTCCATCAATAAACTGCTCATTAGCTAAGAGCATCAGCTCTAGGGCAAACTCATTTCCATACTCAGGTTGTATTACAGAAAATTGAATATCCAAAAATAATAACATTAAATAAATAAATAGATAATTAAATAATCAATAAAATAAACAAGTAAATTATACAAACAACAAAATGTTACTTATTGTTACTATTCTTGCATTGAGTTATGGACTACCTAGAGAGATGATATGGAGCCTGTGCACAGAAAACAGTCTATTAACATCTGGATAAAGCAAATCAAATGACAAATATGGACATTAGAAAATAGCAAAAAAGCTAAAAATCACATACAGAAAAGATGAAAATAACAGGGGAAAGGGGAGGCACAGAGTCTTGTCACTACACATAAGCGTCCGCATGCACCTGGCCTACAAGCCCTGCACCCATCAGAATGGCCAATTAAATAATGCCTGTATTTTGGGCCATGTGAAGGTAGTAAAGTATCCGGATCCAATGATTTAAGGGTTCTTTCATCAGTCATGTTGTATATATATACTAATAAAACTAAAAGTGCTTTTTCCTATAGGGACGGTCATCAAAACAAAAACAAAACACTTTTTTTCGCACACACACAACACTGGTGGGCAAAAGATCAACAATGGCTACTGAATCAGCTGTGAGAACAATGTCAACCTACTACAAATCTCTCAATTTAGTTGCTAAAAAACATCATGATGAAAAACTTAAGTATTCTAAAGGTACAGAAAGATTACCAGATCCTTTCTCTCTCTCTGATGGCTGGTCTGAAAGCCTCAATGGTTGGACCATGTTAGTTTTGGTGATATTTATCTCTACCTAATACACACAACGGGTAGTTACACAGAAGAGGAGTTGAAAGTCTACAAATCACTCAAAGCTTTCAAGTATTTTTCTTAAGTTTTAAAACAAAACAGGATAATGGAATTTGGTATTCAACATAAGAAAAAATCAGAATACAGCAATCAGTATTTGCTGGGCCATACTAATTGTTTGGTTGACTGACCTTTATACAAACACCTGGTGTTTAAAAATAAAAAGAATTAAAGGCCTACAAATCTCTGGAAGGGTACAAGTAAGTACTCAATACTGCTTATAATAAGACTGGTTTGTAGTTGTAGGATTAAATTCTCCTGAACTTTAGGCCTGGTTTTTCAAAAAGTTGCTGAAAACTGGGGTTTTATCAATATTTTTCAGACGTTATAGCCAGACTTTTTTAAAAGGTTAAATTTACATTCCCACGCAATACTCATCATGATACCTTGAAAAAATTTAAGCAAATTTCCCGAAGTTGTTGAGAGGGCAGTGTAGCAGTCATCAGATTTACTATTTTCATCTTGTTCCCATTTAATGTCTTAAGACCTTTGTTCAGGAAAGTTTTAAAATCAAATTAACTGAAACTTAAAGTGAAAGAATATACTCAAAAGTAACCAGTCACCCACAACATCTACCATCGCCTAGGCCTATGCCTAACCACGGGTAAATACATCCCCTAGAAAGAGTTATGACGATATACCATAACTGATTAAATTTTAGAATATCTTTATAGAAAAGCTATCATACGTACCATTAGCACAAACTCTTACATCACTGCCAGGTGCAGGATCAAAGTTCTTACGATTGATAGCCAAAGCCTCCTCTCAGGGTCTTTTGGAAAACAATTAAAACTCAAAGTTGAACCTTTTTGATGTCAATTTGCACATCCAATAATAATGCAACTATTTACCAAGTAGAAGTTTCTTAGAAAAGGGTGAAAAAGGATGCGAATCTTATATAAATCAAGAAAAAAGGGTCGATGTTCGCGACAGACCAATACTTAATAACAAAGTTTGTGGGACTTTGTTGTTGTTTTTGCCCACCACTGCCTCCGATTGATCATGTGACAACTCTGGTGACATCACGATGACCGTCCCTATATGTTTCTGGTTCAGTTTCAGAATCACTGAAGTTGAGGTCAAAAGCTTTACAAGAATAATACCTTGCCAACACTACCAAGCCTGAAGCGATCTTGTTCCGGGTATGACATAGAACATATGCTGAGACTTTCTGACATGCCATATCCTTCCATAATGGGGATGTTAATACTCATAAAATACTCAAGGACATCTTTTGATATGGGTGCAGCACCTGTAACAAATACAGAAAGTTGCTTAAGAAAATAGAATCAATATTCTCAATCACTAGTCTTTCATGAACATTTATGTATGTGTGCACACATGTTTTTTTTTTCTTGCTTGTGGTTGTACATACCTGATACAAACTTTTCAGCGCGGTTGAACCCAATAGCTGCCTTCACTTTATTCAAGATGAGTGCTTTTGCTAATGAGTTGCAAGCTCTCTCATATGTAGACAAAGTCCTATTCCATAAAGAAATTTATCTATTTATTATTATTATTTTTTTAAGCATTTTCTGTGCTTGTGCTGATTCCATAATTCAAATATATGAATCTTAATAACTCACACAATCATGTAAATAAATGGAATATCTTTAGCCGGCTGGTTTTTCATCAACATACAGATGAAGATATAAGTGGCATTACAGAGACACAAAATATGCCCATCATAAAAAATGTACAAAATAAAATAATAACAGTATCATTTAAGGGTGTTTAAAACTTTTGTCCCAACTGTTTTACCTGCCATCACGTAATGCATTGAAGTAATTGAGACCATGGTATTTGGCCCATGTAGCTACAGCCTTCTTCACCCCACCAACTTGTGCACCAGCTTCCTGCATTCTTTCATATATCTTCTCCCAAACTCTTGGCACTCCCAAGAAACAAGTTGGACGTACCTGAAAAAAAAAAAAAAAATCTTTGCTTGTCCCTGTTCTCGCTTTTCTTTTCCTTATTCTCTTTCCTTGTTCTCAAATTCACTTTATTCCTCCTAAAATTCTATTACTTCTTTGTCCTTTTTGCCCTATTTTGCAATATATGATCATCATCATTACTGGTATGTCTTTTCAGCTTGTGGGTGGCATAGGAAATACTATCCCATTTGGTTACCTTTATAGTTTTATAGATACACTAAATTCTATAGAACAGTGCCAGTATCATATACTACATTTGGGTATTCATGCATCACTGATATGAGATAGGGGACATACATAAATAAAATGAATCAAGAACACAGTTAAATAATCTGTTATAAATACATATTGCAAGTGTTGTTTTGGTCTTCTGGAAACATTTTCACTTGAATATAGAAAATGTGAGAAGTACTATTCGTTATAATCTTGACACATTATCATCCCATAATGCCAGGCCCCTCGTAGGCCCTCTTATCACGGAACCTATCGTATAGTCAGATTTCCGGCCTATTTCTTATTTTGAATGGAAGTAGTACTTCTTGTACTGTATGATATATCTTATCCAGCCAATATTATATATCTAGACACATAAATATATCTAAATACCTAACTATTTTGCATGTAAGAAAAATGTTATCTTTCTTTTTATGTTTTTCATTTAATGTGTGGGACAATTTATAGTTTTCATTCATATCCCAGGTGGCAACTGTGATAAATTTGTAAAATCTGCACTCTATTGATGTTCCATGTATTTGACATATAAAAATTAGATACATTTGTATTTTCTGGCATGTAAAATCAAGCTCTTGAAACACCAGGAACTAAAATTCTGTTTAGGTGAACCTCATAAATGAGATCTTTTAAATATCTGGGGGACAGAAGAGTTAAAACTACAAAAAGAACATAAAAATCATACTGTGACCATATTCATCCCTATAAATATCTCTGATTATAGAATTTATATTATCTTACCTCTTGTAGTGTTTGACCTAGTGTCCCCTTCAAGGCATCAGGTTGTGCAAAATAAACTGTAGCTCCGATTGTACATGCTAAATATACATCAAGCATCTGAGCAGCAAGATGACTGAGAGGAAGATAAGACACGAAAACTTCTGTGCATAATTCATGATTTGTATTAGCCTGGTACTGCGAACTTCCCCAAGTGAGGTGATCCTGCGAACACATAACTCCTTTTGGTGGGCCTGTGGTACCTATAAAAAATTGAGTGATGTTACTAGTACTATTCTTTATATGAAAGAGTTATTAATCAAAAAATGTTACACAATTATATTTCATGTATGCAAACATGGTACATTACTAAGTTATGAATTAGTTATTATAATTATATCATCACTGAGATGCTTATACTTTACCATACATTAACAAGAAATGTAATAAATAAAAAATATAGATAAATGTGTATATATACACATCACTGGAAGGAAGACATTAAGTATTTACCTGATGTGTATATCAAAGTACAACACTGGTTGACAGCAGCCAGAGAAAGACGATCTTCAAGCTCAGCATCTTTTTCAGCAAGACCAATTGCCATGAGTTCTGCCCATGATATAACACCTGGAGCGCCTGGTACTCCAGACCACTGAATTATTGCCTGGGGACAGAAGAAAAGGGTGAGATTATTAGAGAAAGTCAAGGCCTGACAACAGCCATATGACAAGAATAAAAGATAAGCAAAATTATTAACAGATTTTCCTAAATCAAGGATACATTCCAGATGCTTACCTTGATTTCTGGTAAAAATCTTTTGACCGCCAGAAATTTGTTCAAACAAGCATTATCTTCCACAACAATAATCTGAGCACGACAGTTTTCAGCTAAATGTCTACAAGCTTCCGGAGAATTTGTAGTGTAAACACCTGCACACAAACCACCAGCAAATATACAACCTATAAAAAAAGAGAGTTAATAATCACTGAATGGAAGAAAATGTGTCTTTATTTGGAAATAAGATGTTTGTTTTCAAAAAGAAGCATACATATTTGAAATTTTTAAAATGACAAGCAATTAAGCAAATTGTGGACATACAGCTGATTTTCTCGAACAAAATAGGATTTTTTCCAAAGAGTGGAGTGAAGTCCAAAGTTGTACTTGATAAAAAATAACACTGTATTATGCTGAATGTAATTTCCAATATTACAAAAAATAATGAAAGACATGGTGAATGAAAGAAAGGCTGGCAAGCATTAATCTTCTAAAATCCTTTCTATGAATATATATTCTTGGCTATTATACTGTTGTATAAAGGGAGAACAGAGAACACGGTAGTATTTCTTTTATTAAAGAAAGAAACAATCTCTCGAAGAAGCAGGTAGCTAGTCCTCAGAGTAGAATTCCTTTTCTTCTACATAACCACAAGGAATCCTAAACTACTAATAATTCCTCTTTTCATTCCCCATCAACTTTATTATGAATGCATTATGCAACTTCCAAAAATTTACATGCGATAATTTCTGAAATCACATAAAAATTCACACTAACCCAGCTACAGAATACAAAAAATCTGCAAACCCACCAAAGTTAGCAATCAACCATTCCGGCGAGTTGAATCCCATGATGCAAACTCCATGGAACCTCTCAAGACCAAGCCTTATGAAGGCCTTTGCAACTGTTCTGGACTCTTCAAAATATTCTTTGTAAGTCCAGTACCTGCAATGTTCAGTATAAATAAAGAGTAGAACTTACAAGAAAATATAGTTATGAGAACTCTGATTAAATCATTCTAACTAAAACAGTAATAAATTGTCTCAGTATGCCAGTTTTGGCCTGTCTTTCAAAAAGAGATGGTAACAACTACTACAACTAATTTATAAAACAAAGAATAAGACAATGATGAAAAAATCATATATCAATGTATATATCAATGTCAACATTAAAAAACAATTAAAATACACAGTCACAGACACAATCAGATCAAATGACTGGGGGAAAAAGAGTAGTTAGAAGTTGTAGTATTACCTCCAAGCTCCTTCCCTCTTCACAGCTAGAGCAGGATGTTTAGCATAATCCCGTGCTCTGTCCTGCATCAATGTGTGGACTGAAAAAGGAGCACCTGCCATCGCTCCTTCCTCTTCAATATACAGTTTGACCACTCCGTCAGCCTCCCATGTTTTATTGTGTGTTGCTGGCAAGACCTTAATTTTTTTAAATAATACAAATTGGCATTAGTAATTGCAATAGCCCTACTGTACCAAAAAATCTTGGTAGTTTAGCAGCAGACCAATACAACACTGGCTTTTTTCATAATATGCTCTGATATACTTCTACTGCTGAAACATCAAAATAATATTTCATGTCAGGAAACAAGGTTCTCTCTCTCTCTCTCTCTCTCTCTCTCTCTCTCTCTCTCTCTCTCTCTCTCTCTCTCTCTCTCTCTTTCCCTCAGTCCCTCTCTCTTACTCTCTATTTCTCCCCATCTCTCACTCACTATTTCTCCCCATCTCTCACTCACTATTTCTCCCCATCTCTCACTCCCTATATCTCACTCCCTATTTTCTCCCATCTCTCACTCACTATTTCTCCCACTCTCACTCACTATTTCTCCCCATCTCTCACTCCCTATTTCTCCCCATCTCTCACTCCCTATTTCTCCCCATCTCTCACTCCTGATTTCTCCCCATCTCTCACTCCTGATTTCTCCCCATCTCTCACTCCCTATTTCTATCTCTACTCCTCTTTCTCTCTCTACCTCCCTAATCCCTCCCCCATCTCTCACTCCCTATTTCTCCCTATCTCTCACTCCCTATTTCACCCTATCTCTCTATTTCTCAATCTTTCTTTCTCCCTATTTCTTATTCTCTCTCTCTCCCTATTTCTCATTCTCTCTTGCTCCTTACTTCTCACTCTCTCTTTCCTCCTATTTTTCATTCTCTATTTCTCTCTTGCTCCTTACTTCTCACTCTCTCTTTCCTCCTATTTCTCACTCTCTCTTTCCTCCTATTTCTCACTCACAATAACCATACCTCCTTTCTTCCCAACAGCATATACCATGTCATGTTTCTCCCTCTTCCCCTCTTCCTGTCCTCTCTCTCTTTTTCTCTCAAACTCTCCCTCTCTTTTTCTTCCTCCTTCCCTTTCCTTCCTTCCTCTCCCTACGGTACTTCCACCCTGTCCTACCCTCCTTCCTTCCTATCTTTATTTATTTTTCTTTCTTTCTACTTTTCCTCCTTCTTTTCTTCCCTCCCTATTCCTGTTCCTCTCCCTCCTTTCCTACTATGCTCTCCTTTTCCTTATCCTTACTACTCCCTCCTCCTCTTTCTCCCTGTGAATTACAACATGCAAAATGGTTCCTGCCCTCAGGCAATACCCCCACACTGCATCTGCCCTTGGGCCTTTCTTGATACCAGAACTGCCTCAACAAGAAATATCGTGACCTTAGCTGACACAATAGAACACCTCCCATTGACACTAAATGAATAGCTCCAGCCAGCCTGTGGCCCCTGGCCTGGGTCTAGCCCTGATCAATGCTGTTTTCAATTTATATTATATTGTGCCAATACCAAAGTGTGTTGTAATATGTCTACAAACAGTCAAGCCATACCCTGTCTGTCCCTCTATCCCTCCTTCCCTTTTCCTTTCCTTCTTTATCCCTATCCCCTTGCCTTACCCTCTCCCTGCCTTACACTCATTTTCCTGTGTCTCACCTCTCCCTAATACTCCTTGTCTCAACCTCTCTCTCTTCTGTTTCCTTTTCCTCTCTCCCTCATTCTCCTTCTTCGTCTCACTCTTCCACTCCATTGCCCTCTCATTTTTCAATGAGAATTGATCTTACCTGATCAGGCCCATTTCTGTATTCATCAAAGTTTTCCTCCATTTC